CACCAGCAAAAAGACTACGACTTGCGCGAGACTCGGACGACGGTTAGCATTTTTTACCAATTAAGTATTTTTTCATTAAGGTACATACGTTGTTCAGACATAACGCACACTTAATGGACTACAGTGCAGTGTAAACGAAACGTTTATACGCATTGGGAAACCAAAAAATTCGTGCGACTCACTCGATCGCGACAGCTTTTACTGCAGTGTCTGGAACCAAGCCCACAGTCTCTCCGAGGTCCACCAGTGTTACTTTTCTGCGTTTTCTCAGTGAATGTGACTTACTTTTAAGTGAGAGGCGAATAAACCTTGATGGCAACTAAGAAGCAAAAAGCAGAAACAGACCAGGCTTTGCTGCTTGACGAACAGACTAGAGCTACGCGCTTCCCTTGAGTACCTCAGGCGTCTGGCTGGGCTTCTGCTGGACTTAACGCCCTTGGCTTTCAGAAAAACTAAGTGTTTTTAATTTAAAAACTAAGCTGTGTTTATAAGCAGTGACTGTGGACAGTTGGTGTTAACGCTCATTCTGTAATCTAGAAATCTGTCAGCATCTGCCAAACCACGTTGGAAAAAGCAGCTAAGGTGACGCATGAGACACGACTAGCGTCTTGTCACCCCCGAACGTGTAGGAACTGACCCCGGCCCCAACGGCAGGTTGGAGCAAACGGGAGGAGCAAAAGGACAGGACCTGCGTTCCAACCCTCGGGGTCCTGCAGGGTGACAGTTCTCAGGAGGGCGCAGACAGCACTGTCTGGGCACGGTGGGGCCCCCCAACAACAGAGCAACCCCAATTTGAGTCAGGCAAGTCAGAAGCGGCCCACTCAACCCAGACAGATAGACAGACGGACAGATGGAGCCCAGTATGTGGGATCCAGGCCAGGGAGAAGGGGCCAGTCACGCAGACGCACGTCCCGGCCCAGCACCAGGCTGAGGCCACTGCCTGCGCCCTCACTCAGCCCGGTCCAGACACACCCTGTGCCAGACTCGCAGAGAACTGAGGCCCAGCTACGGCCTCGCCGCATACAACACACAAGACCCGTGGGCGCACCTTCGCCGGCCCGGCCAGGAAGCCTCTCCAAACCGTGATGGGCGAGTCCCTCCCCCGGGACCCGTACACGCGGCTCCTGCAGACAGCCCCCCGGGCCCTGCGGCAGGTGCCGGCCCACCTGGCCAAGGGCAGAGTGGGGGAGGCCCCCGAGCAGAAAGGCGTCCAAGACAAAGGAGACCCAGCACCAGAACACATAGGCCGCACCGTGACGTCCATTAGGAGGTGACGTGCTTGGGGACAACCACCACCAGGTGACACACGAAGGGAAAAGATTAAACATGGGGAAGCCTCGATCTGAGACATAAGAGCGATCACTACTTTTCATCTAAGGACCGAGCGAGAGGGGCACACAGCCAGGGTGTTGAGCTCTTCATCTACACGGCTTGTCACGCGTTCCCTGTAAAATGTCACTGAGCACCTGTGGAGTGGCCGGCACCACAGACGTGCCCTGCTGCCGAGGCCACTGTGGCTGGTGCAGGGCCTGACAACAGCCACGACCCTCCTCGGCGGTGGCAGGCGGGCTGGCCTGCTGGCTCCACGTCTCCCTGCCTCCCCTCCAGGCTCCCTGTGCCAACCCTTTCCGCCAGCTGCTGCAAGGACCTGAAGTGACACTCAGCTGGGCCGGCTCTGCAGGTCTGCAGACGGCCCACGGGCCACCCACAATCGGCAGGCGGCCATCGGCACCGGGTCTCGCGCCCAAACTGCGTCCCCGGCCACGCACACCTCAGCGGCTCCTTGGCACCAGTCCTCAGACGCCGAAGTGAGGCCGACGCGCTACGAATGTGGAAGGCGAGGTGGCCCTTGGGAAAGGCCCCAGGCCCCCCGCACAGCAGCTGTGCCCCCGCTCCCGTCAGGGCATCGGAGGGTGTGCTAGGAGGCAAGGAGCGCCCTTCGCTGGACTGAGGCTGGCGCGGCAGCTCCGGCCGTGTGCGGAAGGGGTGCCCGCAGGGTCCCCGAGCAGTCTTTAGAGAAAGGTGGCCAAGGCTGGCCCTCCACTCACAGTGGCCACAGCACAGCCAGGCGGTGAGAAGCCCCAGGTGCTGCTATAGGTGTGACGGCCGCGGTCCACACCTGCCACACCCTCATCAGGCCTTGAAGAACCCCCTAGCTGGCAGCCAAAGAGGCAAAGCCAGGAGCGGGCCATGCTCCCCGCCGTCCACCTGGGCCACGTGGTGTGCACACGGAGCCCCCCAAACAGACGACGCAGCCCGGTGTGGGAGCGGCGCAGAGGCCAGTGGCCCCGTGAGGGCGCACGGCCCAGTGTTTCATTCACGCGTTTTTATTTTTACTATTGGCAATAAAATTTCATTGTTTGTTTTTCGACCTCTCGATTAAAACATAAAAACACAGCAAATAAGATCCCCACCACCCTGCCTGTGCCCAGACCAGCTCCGCAAAGACGCAGTGGTAGCAGGAAGGTGCTGGCGTGCTGACCAGAGACAGAGCTGGCCCTGCCCGGGACAACCGGGCAGGAAGAATGAAGAGGCAGGGGAGGGAGACTGGGCAGAGCCCGGGACGCAGACGTGAGTGGAGTCGAGTCGGAGTTCGCGCCAGTGGTCCAGCAACGCCCGCGAGGCGCGCCGAGCGCCGTCCAGAACCCATCACTTCAGGCTGGGTTCTGGGCCTGCCGAGGGCAGGGCCAGGACGTGTCCACAAGTCGTCCATGGAGGCAGGGCAGGGGCTGTCTAAGGCATCGCCCCCATCCACAGGGAGGGCCGAGGCGGCATCCCCGCCCGCGGAGGCAGCACCAGGCGGGTTCTCCTGGGGGGCCCGTCTGACTCAGAGGAGGGACAGGCCTCCTCCACGAACTGGTGTGTGTTTTGTTGGAAGGAAGGCTGAACTGATGCTTCCAACGTCATCCAAAACAATCACAGAAATGCAAAGGTGCAGCGATCTCTCTGCGTTCCGAAACGACCCGACACGCCAGTCCCAGCGGAGCGAGAGAAAAGTTAGGATCCAGAGCATGAACCACCCAGCGTGTTAGTAGTAAGTGGGGACCTGGAGAACAGCGGAAAGCCGTTTAGTCTGACTGAAGGCACTAGGAGACCGGCTCTGCCCTGGTCGCCGAAGACATGAGCCCCTCGCCCCTCACCCCCACCCCCGCACGCGCATGCGCACGGCGGGCATCACGCAGCAGGACCGCGAGAGGAGGGCCAAGCAGCGAGGAGCTGGGGCCTGACTGTCCGTCGCTGGAGTGAGTCAGCGGCCACGGAAGCGGGGTGCTAGGAGACAGTGCGGCTCCACGAGACGAGACAGCGTGAGCAGCAGAGCCGGCGCCAACGCTCCGACGCCCGGGAACCCATCTGCTGTGACTAAGTGGGACGTGCTTCATGCTTGAGCACCGGGGACCCTAAAGGCAGCACGGACGGCGGGTCTGGAGAGCGCTTCGGTCCTCGGCCCGCGAAGGTGCAGCTCGGAGCAAGAGGTCCAGGCACGCAGAACCGGGGGCTCGGGCGAGGCGAAGCCAGAAATGGATGCGGGGGCGGCGGGGGCGGCACTCTGCCCCAGCATGACTAAGGCTCCCGGCCACACAGCAGTGAGGCCCAGCGGCTTCCACTGACTCTACTGCCACTCTGGAAGAAAGCAGAGACCTGCGTGTCAGTTGGGGTCCCGGGCGCACACGCCGCTCCTGGACACTCCTCTAAGACGTGCCATGGCCGCCTGCAAAAGCCTGCACTCCGCGGCAGGGACGGGGTGCCACACTGTTCCACAAGGACTGGAGAGCTGCGACTGCCAGGGCCGCCAGGAGCTCGTCGCCAGAATGAGGCCACAGGGACAACGGCTCAAGCAGGACCTGAGGAGTCAGGTGAGCGCCGCTTCTGGAACACCAGATTCGCAGGGGGCCCTCGGCCCGCGGCGCTCGGGGCTCGTGCTGCGGACAGGACAGGGGGACTGGAGGCCCTGGCATGGGCAGGGTGTCCCCGTGACGGACGTACTACTGTTAGCGGTGAGGACGTCACAGTACACTCAGAAAACAAGTTTGCTAAGAAGGGGACGTTACAGGGAACCTCCGGCACTGAAATGTGCCATCCGCATCTTTACCTACGTCCCCTGGAACGTGAATGGGTCACTTAGAGAAAAAAAGACTTTAACGAGGTACTAAAAACCTCCAATGTGATATCAACCCATCAAGGTAAAAGCCCCGAGTAAAGGATTTCTATGAAATTAATTATACGAGCAACAGGGTCCGATGCGGTCCAGTGGGATGCGAGCCGTCCACGGAAACACAGGAAGGGACCTGAGTGAGGCCTCCTGTGGCGTCCACATGGGCACAGCCACCTGACCGACGGATGTGGCCAGCAGACGGCCCTCCGCCTCTATGTGACCCTGCCCGGGTCCCAGGACGCAGACTGGCTCGCTGTCACCCAGCCTCACACCCTCACGGCCGCGATGATGACGTGCCTAACACCGGCGGCCAGAGGAAGCGCGTGCTCCTCCCCGCACAGACACACAGGTGGGGACGTGAGACGGGCTTCAGTCCCAGACGAGGCCCCACAGGACAGGGAGAGGACAGGTGCTGTAAACGGCGCACACCACCGCCGGGAAGCAGGGTCAGCGCGGAACCGAACGCGACGACGAACAGCCGCGCCAGCGTCGCTAACAGACACGCCCGGGCTTCAGGCTGGACGGTGAGGAACAGGCCACCAAAGCGCAGGGCGCGTCCTGCGGTCGACCCCACGGGATTCCCAAAAAAATGCAGCTCGCAAAAGGAGCGCACGGGGCCCTGCTGGCCAGCCGTGAACCGCACAGGCGCACGCAGCTTCATAGGGCGTGAGGGGCACCTCCGAGTGTGGCTTTGGCCAGGAACGGTAACCTGCCATCCGTGTGCTAACGAGTCTGCACGGAGTCGTGAGAAGTGCCAGACCGTTCTCCAGTCAACTGGGCAAAGCGCTGCCCCAGCCCAAGGACGGCACCGCCCAGGGCCCACGCGGTCCTTAGGAGGTGACGTCCAGTACGCCGCAGACTGGAGCCATATGGCATCAGCCCAACCCACATCCCTCCGGTGGCTCCACCGGCCAGAGCCGCCGGTCCACGAGCACGTGCAGCACGTGCACGACGGCCACGCTCCGGAGCCCGTGGGGTGACACGCAGAGGGAAAGACGTGCGGGGCCCTGGGACCCACAACTCGGGGCCTGTCAGAGAGAACAGCGCTGCTGTCCCATCGGCTGGGAAAGAGCGACGCCCAGCGGGGGGCGCCCACGCCGAGACCTGGGGAGAGAGAGGGCGCGCGAGGCCCGGCATTTACCTGTGTCCAGGCGCTTTCCCGGGGACCCCTCCTCCACCTCGCAGTCGCCGCAGGTGCTCCGCGACCTTTTTCTTGGCTGCAGAAGAGTCTCCAACCTCGGAAGGACTACAGACAAAAAGGTTTTGGTCCCTAGCTGAGGAGAAGCTGGCTGGGTTTCAGTGTTCTTGGCAGACTTTGGGGGGCTTACACTTTTCGATTTGCAGAAGAGAACAGAGGTGCGTCTGTTTACATCGCTTGATGGCTCCGCCACCGCGGAGGCCGCCGCCGGAGCATCGCCACTACGGGCGACGGTGGGCTCTGGAGGGCGTCCGAGTACCAGCGCGCTCGGAGAGCGAGCGCTATGTGACTCATTATCAAATGTGACTCTTTTGAAAAGTTTACTCTGCTCTGGGTTGAGTTCTACTGGTCTGAGGGTTGGTGGTTCTGAATTAGTCTCCGAGTTTGAAGGAAGAGGTAATGCATCTGATGGTTCAAGTTTAGGGGGAGATTTATCTCCTGAAAAAATTATAAATAAAGTGATTTTTGAAAACCGGTAATTATAAAATCTATTATAAAACTTACTATAAATGTGAAGTCCACCAAAATACTAATTCAATTAAGGAAACAAAGCATCACACACAACTGTCTGCTAGCAGTGGGGGCCGCGGCGGCCCGGCCCGGGCCCGCAGGTCACACTCCGGCATGTCCCTAAGCCCGGGCTGAGGTGGCCTGGCGCTGGGTCCAGGTGCCCCGCGGTGTGGAACCACCCTCTGGAAACAACTGTGAAACAGCATTTCACATTCGCCAACATTAAACGCATCATTCGAGTTCGCGACCATTTCTCAATCGACAGTGCACTTACCTTGAGAGAGGAAAAGCACCCACGACTACGTCTACGCGGGCGCCCCCACCCCACCCGGCCAGGCGGGCGCCCAGAGCGCGCCCTCTGCCCCGTTTCTCCCGGCCTCGGGAGGCCTGCCCAGACCGGTCGTGCGGAGGGGCTGGGAACCACCCTAGGAAGGAGCCCCAGGGACATCCACGCCACACTCTGAAACTACACACGTCAGCTCTCGTTTTAACACGACTGCAAAAGTAAAGAGTCTTTCAAAGACCACGCTAACCTCCTTAAAAAGGTTCTCAGGGACGTCTCACACAGACACGACAAGTCCAAGACCACGTGGAGCCGGGTGGCGGCCCTCGGCCCACCGGGAGCTCCACGGGGAGCACACGGGCTCCTTCTGAGCGAGACTGACGACAGCCCACGACCGGCAGCCGCGGGAACCACTGACACCCTCGGCACTGACTGTCGTCCCCAGGTAAGCTTTCATTTTATTAAACCCGCAAGTCCTCAAACCCCCTTGAAAGATAGAAGGTTGACACTTGGACCCCAAATTCATTCTAATAACAAAAAGCTACACGACTTACAGAGTCTGCTCTACCAAAGCCGGTGTCGGGGGGACTCTGCTCACCTAGCACGGGGTGCGGGCAGCACTCTGCTCACCTCTCGGACAGCCGGGCTCGGGCTCTGGCTGGCTGCGAGGGCAGCCGGGCCTGCAAAGTGCCATTCAAAGCTTGTCAGAGTGCCTTACAGGTGACCCCTGTACCAAGGGGGAGTGCACCCCAACAGAGAGCTGCTGTGAAAGTCCGTTCTAGGTAGGAGAGACCTGCTCACTCGCCCAGTGCACACGGCTGACACCACGGGTGCACGACACCCCAGGCCTGGACACTGTGGCACCTACGAGCTGGGAACGCTGACCCATGGGCCGCATGGGCTGACACGCTGGCTGGTGAAGGACCCTCCCCACACACTGCCCAAAGTCACAAACAGATGTAAGACGACAAGACGCACAAAACACACAGGTGGGCTGGCCAGACAGATACGGGAGCCGTGCGGAGCTCCCGGTGACCTGGCACTACGTGGACGCAGACTGGGGCAGCGCGGCCACCGCCCTCCTCCCGCTGCCCGAGCAGACGGCTCAGCTCACTTCCTGCCTCCTGACCTCCTGGGCCTCTTTTTCAGGCCCCAACACCAGGCACCCATCCTGACCATTAAACCCAAAGTGTCGCCACAGTCCCTGCAGCTGTCCGCCTCAGTCTTGGCCAGGTGGCCAGGCGCTGGGCAGCACTGGGCAGCAGTGACAGGAGCCTGAGCAGCCTCCCTCCCTCCTGGGCTCCCCCTCGCGCTGCCCAGCCACGCGCGTGCCACCCCCGTCCTGCCTGGCCCCAGGGAACCTCCCCCCGGGGCATCAGCCACCAGGTTCCCGTGGCCCTGGTCCCGCGGTCCAGTGCTCCCCTGCCACTCACACGCGCCCACGCAAATGTTCTCCTGCCCCAGCGGGAGCCCCGCGGCAAACGCAATGCTCACGACCTCACCAGAGGGCCTCCCGACTCCACTTCCTTCCAGCCAGAGGTGGCCACCTTTGCGCGCCCCCACCAGGGCTCACATGAAGACCACGTGGCGTCGAGGGGGCGGGCAGGTGCAAGGCAATGGTCAAAGCAGAGGCTGCTCAGGTGACTGGGGGCAGGACCCACAAGCCTCAGTCTTCACCCGCGAGAGGGGAGACCTGTGCCCAGCGCCGTCAGCCGCACCGGGCTCACCGACAGAGCACGTGTCCTGTGGGAGCCTTGCTGAAAGGCGGTGAGTGTGGACGCTCCGCTCACTGTGGCACACAGTCCAGATGAGGGCAGAGCCTCACGCTCGGCTAGCTTCTAAAACGGACTGTGCGACCTGAGCGTAGAGTCTCAGTTTGTGAGTACAGAACTCAGCACCCGAAATTCCATGCACTAGAACATGTCAAGTCCGCAAAATGGCCACTTGGGCCTCCCGCTTGGGACACCTCGTCTAGGCAAATACACTCAGAGCTCGGATGCCCTGGGGTGTGCGAGCACAGTGCTGCACCCCTGACACACGCGGTGGCCAGCTACGCCCGCCACACGCTTCCACGCAAAGCCACGGAGACCGGCCAGAGCCGCGGCGTCCAACCCCGTCCCACCCGCTGTACACAGCCCGACCAGCCGGCCCGGCCTCGTGCTGCCCCCTCACGGCCCCACGAGGCAGAGCTCGCCCGTGTGCGCGCCCCGCCACGTGAAAAGTCCTCCCGCACACACGATGGGGCCCTCGGTGTGACATCGGGGGACAATCCTGCCAGCTGGGCCAGGCCTCAGTGGTGCCAGCAAGCCCTCTGAAGCCACACTAAAGCAAGACAGCCCATCTTGAAACTCCAAAGCAAGGCTCAATACACGACCCCAAACTCCCCCAACCAAAAAGCCAAAGGCCCAAGCAGTAGCAGTAGCTCGGTGACAGCACCCTGTGCCAGGCCAGCCCGCAACTCGCTGCTCTCCCGAAGCTGCCCCCGCCTTCGTCCTGCGCCCCGTCTGTCAGCTGGACCCAAACTCAGTGGCCTCGACGTCTGACTGAACGCACGCACGGGCTCAGCAGCCGACGCGGGCGGGGTGACTCTGCCCCCCAGCCCTGGCCGAGCCCCACCCAGCTCCACAGTCACCACGAAGAACAGCCCCAAACTGGGCCTGGGCACAGGCTAGAACTGAGGCGGCCACAGCCTGCTGGAGAACTGGCCCCAAACCGCAGAGCATGCGCAACGGGACCAATAGGCCTGCTGCTGACCCCACGCCCATATCCCCAGGGACGGACAAGAATGCCCGGGAGGCCTCCCTTCCTTCAGACAAGGGCGTCCAGTGGGCCTGACCCTGCTCCTGGCTTCCCTGTTCCAGTGTCTCCGATGGAGACCTCGTGGTTGACAGACAAGCTGAGACGGAGCGCGTGTCCGGCGTCAAGGAATCACGGCAACTGTGCGCAGTGACGACGCTGTGGTGCCGGTCCCCGTCCTCTGGCAGATTCGTGGTTCTGTCCCACACTAACCCCTGAGCACACATTCCCACAGCGACCCAGCGCCTGCACCTAGCTGCCCTCCCGGCACCACGCCCCAGGCCCGCCAACCTGCTCCGCGGAGGCCTGCGGCTTCCTCACAGGGCGGCCGCCCCACACCGGACCCTCGAGCTGTTTCCGCCTCTCCACGCTCTCTCCCACCAGCTTGGGGTAAAACGCCCTCTATGCATACGCAGTCATTTTTCACAAGAACGTGACACTCTACAAGTGAGACTAGGCCAGCTTCCGTTTCAGACCTCGCTTTGTGAGTGCTTCCTTTAAAACGACACCAGCGCCACAGAGCAGCAAAGGTGGCCTTCCGAGGGCCTGGGCCTAATGGGGGCTCCCACCTCGCAAGTGAGGATCCGACGCCAGGGAGGGACCCGCAACACGAGAACGAGGGAAGTCGCACATGCTGGGCAGCGAGGAGCAGGACCACGGTGAGGCTGCTCCGACAGGAGCCGGCTGTGACGGCCTCGCCCCCGCTCACTTGTCAGGCAGATGACGGGCAGACAGCGGTCTTCCCAAAGAGGAACCGAGCCCTCCGGCTGGAGCGACAGCCGGGGCAGCAGGAAGGGGACTAGCTGGGAGGACAGCAGATGTCCCACACTGACCCCCCCCCCACAGGTCCTGCGATGTCGTAGGACACTCACCCCCAGGGGTGCAACAGACCTGACAACCTGGGACCACCCCGGACGCCGAGGACGGACTAGGTACGAAATGGGGCAGTCTGGGACCACGGACGCGTGCGGCTGTTGGGAGTCCGTACCAGCAAGCGCTTCCCAGCACCAGACACCCCAGGTAGTACGAGCCCTAAAAATGACGCTGCTGCCCTGCTCTAGGACCAACTGTGACTGACGTCACTCAAAGGCCATGTTCCAGACCCTGTGCCCAGTGCTGCAGACCCTACATCGACCCATCACAGCACTGCAACCACACCAGGCACCATCGCAGGGTAAGGCTGCACGAACGGCTGGTTCCCGGTGCGCACCGCCGCTCACTTCCTAAGACTCGCCCGAGCACTCCAGTCCCCGGCGCCAGGACACGGGAGCTGTGACACGCAGAATCCGCGAAGCTCAGGGACTAAGCGGTCACGGCCGGCGCTTACGCACAGGCTGGCAGGCTTTGGCACTGCGGGCCGCGCCGGCTGGCGCACGGTCTACAGCGGGAGACAGGCTTTCAAAGAGCAAACTGCACGACTGGGGTGCAGCTGGTTCTGAAGCTCGGGAAGAGCAGACCCAGGCGCTCCCAGCTGCGGGGGGAGGGCCCTACTCGAGTCACCTGTTTGCGTGACCGAAATGTACGGACCGAGCATCTGAAAAGGGGGAGCAGACAACTGCAGTGTCCACCTTGGTCCCTCTCCCCAGCACAAGGCGAGCACCTGTAACCGCCCACCATGTGCTTCCTGTCCACACGAACACCCGCGGCCCAGCTGTCCTCTCAGGTACACCCGCCCCGGCTGGGCGAGGCGTCCTTGCACCGGAAGCACAAAAGCACTGCTGAGACGGAGCTGTCTGGGGCGCGCGGGGCGCCTCGGGCCCCACGCCGTGCTCCCCAGCAACTGGCGGTGAGCGGCCTTCCCAGCCCTCAGAGCCTCAGGCGGGGCACTCAGGTGAGAGTGAGGCCGCGTCCCACGGAACAGCTGTCCTCCACTGACACGACGTGACACGACGTGACACGACGGACGACCCCAGCAGCCCTCCTACCACTGAGGTCACCTGCGCCCCGCAACCACCCGATGGCTGTGCACGGTCTAAACCGTTTTCTTCACATCGTTTTTCAAGACCCAGTTGGAAAAAGAACCTTATTCTGTGCCTGAGACTTTGTAGCTACTGAGGTGCCCAAACATAACACAGGCGACACCATCTGTCAGGTGGGTGGGCTTTGGGAGACCCCGCTGGCGGAGGCCCCGCACGAGCGCTTACCTTCCTCCCCCGGCTCCTGCCCAGGCCGAGCGCCTTCGTCTTCCAAGCCTCCAGTACCTGACTCGGCGGCCGCGGGCGGGCTGTGCCGCTGGCTCAGCTTGTGCCGGATGACGGCGATCTCTCTCTTCAGCAGTTTGGCCCGTTTGCTCCTCGACCCACTGGACTTCATGGAGCACGTGAGGTCCAGCTTCTCCAGCAGCTCCCTCAGCTGCTCCTCCAGGGCCATGTGGGCCCTGTTGGCCGGGTTCAGCAACCTGTCCACTGAAGCCAAAGGACAACCGTCCGTGAGCCGCCCGCCACATTGCCCTCTCATGACCAAGCCCCGCCACCCCAACGGCCCATCAGAGCTCCTGGGCCCAGGTCCCTCACTCGGCCACGTGATAAGGACACAGGCCGCTCTGCCCACACCAAGCCCATGCTGTCACAGTCTCAGAAAGCAGAGCTGGCAGGCGCACAGGAACACGGACACATGGAGAACAGCCCCGGCTCCAGCAAGCAGGCAACTCGGCCACGTAGGGCACGGGCCCAGGCTGAGAGGGAGGCGGGCCAGGCACCAGGAGAAGGAGTTGCAGAGGAGCCCACTGCGGACTGTGCTCGCGGCTGCCATCCATGACACAGCAGACAGCCTTCCACGAGCTGCCGAGGCCCACCCTGGGTACACACCCCCAAGTGACCCGCAACCTGGGCTGCACCAGGCAGAACCAGGCAGTCCCCTGCGGGGCACCGCCACATGTGTCTCTGGAGTGAGCACCTAAAACGTGGCTGGTGTGAACAGAGGTGCCATGAGTGTAAAACACACACGAGGTAACAAGCCAAAAATAAAAATCAAAGAAAAATGTCTCCAGTAATTTTTACATTGAGTACGTACTAAAAACCATGACACCTGAGGTGCACAGCGTACGAGGTACGTCGTGAAAATAAACGCCGTGTTTCTTTTCCTTCACGAGGCTACTAGGAAACCTAAAGTCACACTGAGCGGTGCAGACCCAGCCCGGTGCTTACCGTCCTCCCAGGAGAAAGGCCGCCGAGGGGCCGCGGCGGGCCGCTCGGGCAGGTGCAGGCCGGAGGCCTCCTCGAAGCCGATGCTGTCCACCTGGCGGCGGGCCTGCCGCAGGACGACACCCCCCTGGTCACGCAGCCTCACCGCAGCTCTGTAGAACACCGTGTCCTTGGCATTGTATCTCATGCAGTTGTCCACGATGAGGTCAAAGTCCTCCTCGAACTCAAGGAGGCTCCTGTACCCCTGGGCTTCCAGCCGCTTCCTCATCGTGGCGAAGTCCATGGGCTGCTTGATGTGGTCCAGGTAGTCTGGTACCTGCTCGAGGCGGGGGACAAGCACTCACAAACAGCGAAGGGGTCTCCTGAGAACACACGCCAGCACCAAGTCTCACGTGCACACACACGCACGCACACGTGAACTCGCGCACGGCAGAAACGACTCTCGCAGTACCAAGTGGCAGCACTGAGGACAGCAAACTCCCACCCGCACCTGAGGAACTCCTCTTTACTGAAACAGTCGCTGCGGTGCTGGGCCGGGCAGACCTCACCCCTGCAGAGAGGTGCTTTCTAGGCGGGACTTTTTCATTCCCAATACTTTACAACAACGTGTTCATCAGTTTGCAATGAAACAAAAAAGTAGGTCAGATAAAAACACGTATTCTGGTCACCATGCCGTCCAGTCAGCGTCCCTAACCCAGCAGCGGCGCGGGGCGGTCACAGCGCGCGGACACCCACCTCCTTCAGGCTCACCGGCTGGGCGAATATGCGAGCCGGGTCCTTGTCCTGCAGCTGGTCCAGGACAGAGCGCAGCAGCACGGTCAGCGGGGTCAGCCGCAGCTCCAGCGCCATGCGCTCCACCTTCACCTGGGGGCGACAGCGCTCAGTCCTCACGCTGCTCTGCTCCAGCCTGCCTCCTGGCATGCAGCACCCACCGCCCCCTGCCCCGACGCCCTACCTGAAACACTCACCTTTGACCTGGGCCACTGCCCGTTAACCCCCCAAGGCCTAGGGCCTGGCGCGTCATGCGTGGCGCCGCCAAACACCCTCCATGTGCCCCCTGCTCCTACCTTCCCTGGCCCAGTCCCATCCTGGATACCACACCGGACACCACAATGCCTCTGTCCCGCCCACCTCCCCCCACTCCCCGCTCTAAGAGGTCAAGGTCACCCCGGCCGGCCACCTGGCCCACGCCACGCGTGAGAATGGCTCGGAGGAGGGCCGGGCCAAGGACCGCAGGCCCCAAAGCCCATGCCCAGGAGGCCCACGGCGCCCGGGCACGCACCTGCTCCCGCTTGAGCTTCTCGCGCTTGCGCAGGAGCTCGACCAGCAGGCGGGCGCGCTCCAGGTCGTGCCGCAGCCGCTGCCAGCGCTTCAGCTGCTCCTTGGCGGCTTGGAGCTCCTCGTCGCTCTCCCTCTGAGGGGCGAGACCAGAAAGCCACAGTCAGCCCAGACGTCAGCCCAGACGTCAGCCCAGACATCCCCCAGACACCCGCTCAGATGCCCCCCGGGCGCTGACCAGTGGGGCCAGGCGTCCAGGACCCTCCTGGACGCCGAGGGAGAGAGCAGCCCCCATGCTCTGCCTCACACTCCCTTCCTTGTCCCCAAGGCCTGTCCAGGCCCTGCGGGCCTCACGCACGCCCGGGGAGGTCACCTTCCACGCCTCGGCGGTGCTTCCTCGGCTCTGCCCCGGGCCCGCCTTCCAGAGCCTGCTGCCAGCATGGCGCTGCCCAGTCCACACGCTCGAGCCACGGCCGCCCCACGCCTGCGTCTCAGCAGGAGGCGCTCCCGCCCAACGTGCCGCGCAGCGAGGTATCGGGGCCAAGGCCTCGCCTCCTCCCCAACCGCGCTGCCCACGTGCTCAAATCTGTCCCTGTCACAGGTTCTGATCACAGCAGCCCAGGACACCATGCTCCTATCCCAACGTACATGCACATCTCACTAGACAGAACCAAGGCCCTCCTCAGAGGCATCGTTCCCCACTCCTGGGACATGCCCACGGCCTCAGCCTCTCGCTCCTGTCACCTAGGGCACATGCTCACACTTGCCACACTCTTCTCTCTCCGGACGGCTCTGCCCCACCCCTTCCAGACGGAGCTGAAACAGCCGAGGGGACCCCGCCTCGGCCCCAGTCTGAGCACCTGGCAGAGAGCCCGCTCTGCCTGGCCCGTGGGAACCGCTGGCACTCAGCCCTGAGACCATGCGCTGACGCTGCTTTCTACAGGGGACTTGCGAGCTCCTGCTGCCACGAGGAAGGGGGGCTGGCGCAGGGGCCCCAGTGGGAAGCGGCCTCGGCATCATTCTTTTAAAACTCTCAGGCGTTAAACAGGAGTTAACGGCAGTATCGGCTCTGCAAACGAGGCCAGCTATGACATAAAAGAGCACATTTAAAAGCCAAATTCCCCCAGAGCATCTGAAAACCATCCCATCCAACCATTTGCAGCAGACACTCTGAAAACACCAGGCACCAGGATGCTGGCCTGGTGACCGTCCATAGTGCCCTGGGCCCAGTGTGCTCACTGCCCTGGCCGCAGGAAGACTGAGGCACACGCGGCCTCGCCCGCTCAAAGAGCCTGGCCTTCCCGACCCGGCTCTCAAGGGCTGTCTGTGCCCCACACTAACACCCGCCCTGGAAGGCAGAACTGAGGACACTTCCAGGCCATGTTCCTAAACCAGCCTGACTTCCGGTCAACAACTGAGGCCACCCATGGCTTGGAAGGGGAACACATGGGTGCTGAGGTGGGGAGACGGCTGGAACCCCCACAGTGAGGACCAGCTCGGTCCCATCAAAACCCCTGTGCTGGGGACAAGGCACAGCGGCGAGGGCCCGGCACATCCACCAAGTCCGCGGACACTACCTGGCCCCAAGGAGCTGACGCAGCCGGTGGCGGCGGTAGGGTGGACTGCACAGGCCCAGGAGGCACCTGCACTTCCCGCCAGGCCAGGGTCGGAGCAGGGCAGGTCTGGGGCTCCACAACCCACAGCACAGGGGCCCGGGCAGAGCCCAGCATCCTGAGGCGCTGCATCTGCCCTCGGACCCACTAGTCCCGTCTGTCTGCTGTCCCCCCCAATCAGGTCAGGCCCTGGAGAGACGGGCAGGCACCCAACCTCTCCCAGGGCCAGGCTCCGGGTAGGCACCCAGAAACGGACGAATGAATCAAATTAAACTCTCATATCAAGTATTCTTAAAGTTCCAAAAGACACAGAAATCACACCGAGCCTTAAACGTTCCGTGTGGAACATGGCTGTTCTGGACGCCCCCAGAAGCAAAGCTTTACAGGGTGGCGTGGGGAGGGCAGGCACCCAACCTCTCCCAGGGCCAGGCTCCGGGTAGGCACCCAGAAACGGACGAATGAATCAAATTAAACTCTCATATCAAGTATTCTTAAAGTTCCAAAAGACACAGAAATCACACCGAGCCTTAAACGTTCCGTGTGGAACATGGCTGTTCTGGACGCCCCCAGAAGCAAAGCTTTACAGGGTGGCGTGGGGAAGCCCTCCCCTGTCGCCATCCTTCCCAGAGAGGCGGGCGGGCCCCCCCCGCCCCCCCCGCCGCCGCCCGCACGCGCGCCCCC